ATCCCTGGTTCTGCCAAAAAAAAAAAAAAAAAAAAGATCTATTTAATTCTACATCTCCTCTTAAGTTCTGGCTATCATTTATAATTGATATGTCAGTCTAGTAAAGGGTAGAGCTGGCCAAGTGGGCCTGAGACCACAGTTAAACTTTGTTCCCTACTGACCTTCAATCTCAGGATGTCAACAGCCTCTGGGCTCTTGGGAACCATGGTTTGTCTTGCTTAACTGGGATTTGGAATATATGTGGCAATGGATGATCCAACTCCTATAATTGTCGGTCTTAATTTTCCAGCCTTTTCTATCTACTAAAGCCAATCTGTCCTTCAAATGAAAAATCACTTCACAGCCATCAAGCAGTGGTTTCCATGGCAACAACATAGGTCCATAGCTACAGTCTGTGCTTCATCAGCCTCGATTGCATTTAGCAATTTCCTGTCTTCTGTGCCTCCTTTTGTTTGAGTTTCTGTCATTTTCTTAGTCCCCATCACTGCTGGGAAAATGTCTAAAGAAAACCTATAGTGTCTGACAGATTAACAGCTATTGGTGGTTTAATACAATTCTGAAGAGTACGGTTTATCTCATAACTCATGCTTTGAATCAAGTCCTATCATCTCAAAATCACAATCTTGTTTCATATATTATATTGTAGCTTTTAAATCCTTTGCTTGCAGTGTCCTATGATTCAGGGGGAAATTCAGTGTGCTTTCTGCCTCTAAGATCATCTGGGGTATCATACTTGTTGGGACAAAGTCCAAACTCCTCCCCACTCTCAATGCCCAAGCCCTGTGTCCTCTAACCTTTGCCCTGAGCCACTTCCATCCTCTTGTTGCTTTCCTTTGGTGTGCTGTGTTCAAGGGTGTTTGACCTCTTTCACGTTCTCTGGACCTCTGGGACCTCACCTGCTGACCTATAGCCCAGCCCACCCCATGGTCTCCAACTCGTCCTTCCAGTCTAATTTAAATAACTTTCTACAGAAAAATCTTTCCCAACCCCAAGGCTTGCTTTTGACTTCCATTTCATCACACACTGATCTATCATACCACCATCAGGGCAGATGTTAGAATTTTACAGGTGTCAGAATTTCTTAGTAGCTGGTGAAGCCTTTCACTCTATCCTTTACCGCTGTTAAGTTTCCAGTTCTCTTCTGTGCATTATAAACATTTGATAAAATATTTATTTCTTTGTTTAGTGTTTAATTTTATTTGTTATGGGATTACAGGCGGGCGCTACCACCCCCAGTCTCAATTGTGGTCTCATCAAGCCCCGGGGGCAGGGCCAGCACAGCAGGTTCGGGGATCCAACCCCAGCCCCTGCGCCTGCTTACAGTCGCTTTAATCCGCTGAGCTATTTGCCCAGACCCTGGATTCCTTTCCTTTTTCTTTTTTTGAGTCCCTGATATTTGTTCTCTATTTTCTTTCCCCAGGCGAATGAAGACATCCTTTCCTGTTCTTGTAAATATCACCTAACTACTAAAGGCTCTTAAACTCGCACTTTCATTTAGGACCTCGCTTTCCAAATCCAAACATGCATCTCCAATGGTAGACTGGATTTTTTCTAGTTAAGATTTCAGGACATGTTTCTGAACATGTCAGATAAGCATATTCAAAACTCACTTTTGCACCCATGGGACGTATCTTTTGATTGTATCAAATCATATTTATAACCTACTTTCCCCCTTTTTTCCATTGTTTATGAGAATATCAAAAGTCAAAAATTATTTCCCATTATAATTTGTTAATGTGTTATTATTAAGATTTAATTATTTCTCCTCTTATCTGGGTGGTATGTGTGTCACCGAGATATAAATAAATATCTCTTAGTGTTATTCTGTATCCTTATTCTGCTTGGCTGGAACACAAACGAAGACTCTGTGTTTCATGATTTCCAGAGGAAATACCCCAGAGAGAGAGCCTGCATCTTTCCTATAGTGCTATGGAGCCGGTATGCTAGACATCAGACACCGACAGTCTCCTTTTTATATGAATAAGTGAAGCTACACGTGGTTAAGCCGACATAGTCTCATTTGTCTGCAGGCCCTGTGCTTTCTTTCTAGTGGATACTGCTTCCAAGTCCTTTTTCCCTTTATGTCTTCTCCACCTCAGTAAAGTGCTTTTTAACTGCTTCGGTTGCTGCAGCCAGCAATAAGGTAGCTCTTCCGAATTCTCCTTATCATAGTGCCCAGTTTTACCCTTCTCCCCACAAGACAAGCAAGACAAGCACACTGAGTCATCAGGAAGGCCTGCGGCCGTGCCCTGGAGGAACAGGGCATCTTCATCAGTGTCTCTGTCTACCGCGCAGACACTGCAGTCTGAACTAAACGCCAAAGCGTCTTTGCTGTCCCACCCACTTCCATTTCGCCCCTTCCCAGTTCCTTCTCATCCCATCTCTTTTAAAAGACATAAGTGTGATGACATCAGGCCTCTGCTTACACCCTTTACTGTCCCAGCAGCACCTCTAACGGCGTCAAAGTCACACTGCAAGATTTAAGAGTTTTGTGAGCTACTGTTTTTTCCTTCACCAGCCCACCACGTGTCGCTCTCATCGCCACTCCGCAAGTTCCAGCCACAGGGCCTTTCTTTCTTTTTATTTATTTATTTTTTATGTTAATTTTATTGAGAAAGAAGTAGCAATGAGACAGTTTCAAAACAGGTCAGTAGGACAGTTACAATAATTAATGCATTGCATATTGTCTTTGTAGTAGTTATTCATAGTACAAGGTACAGCCATGATATCTTGTCCAAACACTATTTAGTTCAAAAATTTCTTCTCACTGAACCAAGAGAAAGCAACTGTATACCTATGCTAACTATTCTGTATATACAGATATATATATTTTTCACTATAAAATTACTGCTATACTCTCTCAAGTAAGTGTTTGTTTTTTAAAAAGGAAATAAATGAAAACAAGAGCCAAAAAAATGTCATAGGACTATCCTGCTACATCGTTGTATATGGTTAGATTTCTAAATTTCTGTGTAAAAATTTGTAATTGTTTATTTCTATTTTTTTTACTTTTTTAATATTTTTTCACATTCTGTACAGATTTAAACTTTAGCATATTAATGACTGGTGGAAAATACCTGCTCCATGTTATGTCTAAGACAGCTGATATTCAGACAGATGCTGATGTGAAGCTCAATAGCCTGTTTCAGGGTAATATCATTAAGCTTCTCTTCTGGAGGGTGAGCAACTTAAGTTTGCAGACCAAAACATTAGAGAGAAAGAAGGGCTGCAAGGATAGGGCCTTTCTTTCAGGTTCAGGAGCACCACACACCCTCTTGCATCTCAGGGCTTTCCACACACTGGTTCCAGCCTCGCCCGTGTGCTTCTTTTTATCCTAAGTTTCCATTTAAGTGTATCCTCAGAGAGGCCTACCATGACCATTTCATTAAAATCAAAATCCTCTTACTTCCCCACTCCATCACTCTCAAAACAGAAGCAATTTATTTTTTTTCTTTTCAAAGCTTTTCCTTATACATCCTCACCATTTAGGGTCCCATGGAGAAGGGGAAGTTTTATGAGTTGGTCTTAATAGAAAGAATTTTACAAATCACCTTAATGGGTAGGAACAGACTGAAAAACCAAAAGTGGTGGACACTGCAGTACCACAGAGGTAGGAAGTAGTTGCCTCCTTGAAGCTGGAGATTATGAAAGTCTCAGAGAAAGTGCCTCTGCAGCTTGGACTGGGCCTGGACGCTGAGGGACAGTGCCAGCAAGCTGCTGGTGGGGTACAACAAGGCTGGCTCTGGAATGATGGGAGAAATCAGAAACTGTGAACAATCAGTGATGCCGGCTGGAATGAATGGCAGTCAGCTGACCCTTCAGGAATGACGGGAAGCAGCAGGTGGTTTATGTAGCTTTTTCTTGCTTTCTTACCACAGAGCCTAACATGGATCTACCTGGCACAAGAGAAAGGTGGTTTATAGACCCCTAACTGGAGCAATTCAAGGCAGTACAGTGAGGGCAGGTTTAAAGGTGAGGGGATCGCTTCATAATGAACACACAAATTACTTACTTATACTTTATTTGTGTATTGTTTCCTTTCCCACTAAACCATGTGGTCAGGACTCCTGCTTCTCTTTTGACTTTTGTAACAATCTCATTCCCAGTCTCCTATGTGCATAGCACAACCAGTGAATGGCAATTGCCCAATAAATATTCCACACGTGCCCCTCGGACAAATATTGAATGCCTGATATGGAGCTAAAAACACAAGTGGGAAGCAGACCCTTTCTATTTAGCTGGGACTTTAAAATGTTATCATATGACATTAGGAAGTAGAACACATAGCAAGCACCCACATGCTTATAGGCCCAAGTCGTTCAACAAAAGCGTCAGACAATGAAAATAAATGTAGATGGGGAGCGATTCAGAACATTCGTAGAAAAAGTTGTGATCTTAGGCAGAGCCAGAACAGGAAAGCAGAGCTCTGGAGGAGGAATGAGTTTGGCAGACTTTGGCAAGATGCTGATGAAGTTGCGGAAGCAAGGGGCTAGTAGCAGAAGTCATGAGAAAAGTAAGCTGCAGCCAACTGGGTCGAATCATGATTTGTGGGGTTTAGAATTCCAAGCATTAATGTCTTCTGCAAAGAAAAGTATTAAAAGGCTTTCAGTGGAGTACTGTGGCCACTGGAAATACTTTCTGAAGATACATCTGTCAGCATCTCTGGCATTTGATCAAGCGGGTATGAACTAGAAGTGGGAAGCTCATGAGGAAACTAAACAAAGTCCTGAACCAGGAAAAGGCGATGGAGGTAGAAATAAATGAAAGGCGTAACAGGTAGCATTTAGAAGGGAGAACTGATACAGCACAGCACAGATTTAATCCAAGGCAAACAGGAGAGCAGGGATTTCTGGAATTATCCTACAATATTACACACAGAAAGAATTAGAAATGGCGAGAACGCCAAGTTTTACCAGAAGAACTCAATCAATGATGACATCAGTACGTTAAAGTTCCCGATAAGTACTTCTCCTTCTACAAATTCAATATCTTGAAAACAATTATAAGTCTGGAAGAATGTATGGATCTTCATCTTGAGGAACTGAAGATGTAGCAGGCTTCCGAAAGTTACAATACTCAGCCGATCCCTCGTTGTCATAGATGTGCTCCTCAAAATTGGATGGGCGAGTGTTTTCATATAGCTGTTGGTTACCTCCTTTTTTAGCTTTTGGGGGATCCACTGCTACATTTTCATAGTGCCCATGCATCCCGCTTCCCTTGTCAGCAGACCTGTGGTCTTTGGTTTTCACCGGGGCTTTGGGGTTCAAGCCAATAATGCGTGGATTCAAGCAGAAAGTTTTCTGGTAGTTTTTTCTCTTACTGTTCCTCCTTTGCAGAAATTTTAGTGAGATAAATCGTGAGGTGTGGTGTTTACAGTGCCAAACACATCCAATTCCACATGCCACCAAGAATACAAGAAGGAAAATGCCCACAGAGATGGACACGGAAGTGTATCCATAGCTGGTCACCATTTTTGCAGGGCTTTGGGGTTGATAATGAAGTCCCAGGTAGAGATGGCTGTAATTCCCTGTAGCTTAATGTTATTCAGAACTAAATTCAGAAGCTCTTTAAAGCATTATGGTTTGAGGCATGGAAGAATATTATCTGGCAAAGTCCTAGAAATGAAATTGATTTAGCTTCAGGAGATGACTTTGTGGGTGATGGTGTTCACATTATAACCATTAATGTAAGGTTACTATACTGGAGAATCTTATTCCAGTGAGCTTCCTTTTTTAAATCAGTAAATCACAAAATGAAGGTAGAAAGATAACAGCAGAGTGGAGGCCTCAAGGAAAAGAAGGTTGAATAATCTGCCATCCAGAAGCCTGTTTTAAATTTAAAATATATTAATTGCATATTCAATATATAATAGTCTATCATGTCCACCAATACAATAAATGTCTATATGTAGTAAGATCAGCATTTTAACATAAAATATAACCCTATGTGTTATAAAGAGAGGAAAAGAATTTAATGAATCTATCCCTACTCGAGCCTGAGGAATTGTCACTGAAGTTCCAGTATGATTTTGACAATAAGGACAACAATTTCCAGAGAAAAGAAAATGTCCTGAATGTAAGAGGAAGAATAGAAAAAGAGAGTACATGTGTGATAATCTCCTTTACCTCTCTCCTCCCATGCGTGAATCTATGCTTATCACTTATCAGACCGAGTAAAGGCCACGTCTTTTCTTTAATTATTTCTTCTCTAATTCTGCCATAATTAGCTTGCTTTCTCCTACAGCACAGCAACCTAAATGACAGACAATTGTATGTTTTTCTATTTGGTTAAATGGTGCGCAGAGATCAGCCTTTGTCATATTCCTAGAGGACTACATAACACATAGCACAAGAGAAGCCATTCAATCAATATTTACTGAATGAAGAATTAAATTAAAATCATTCCAAAACCCAGCATCTATTTGCTTATGCTGACAGTTGGAAACTCAAGACATATCTTCTAAAGGATATTGTTTACACATAAAAGAGATCTTTGAAGTAAGACATAATATCTTTGCAAACATCATCAATCTTCTTATACATTCTGGCAAATAAAACTCACTAACAATAACCTGAGGTTGCTTTCTGTGGATGCTTTTAAATGTCATGGAGGAAATAGGAAACACTCAACAAGACTGCATGCTTTGTTACAATCTTATAAACAAAACATTATTGCTATACATTTTCAGCCCAGACACAGAAATAGTTACATCTAATATTGTTACTAATATCTGTAGGATGATTATTATCATCCATTGCATATTATCATCAATCATATTTAACTATTCTAAGTCAACTTCTAAACATATTTATGTGAATTACCTTAATTAGTCCTATAGTTTTTATATGAAGTGGGTACTATTGATATTACCATGTTATAGATGATAAAATACAGAATCAAAGTTGTTAATTAACTCTCTTAATGAACAACTAAGAAGTGACTGAGTCAGTAGTTAAGTAAAAACATCCCCACATATTGGCTACCAAATGCATGCATCACTGTATTTGAATAGCTTGATCAGTCCTAGGTTATTAGGGGCTGAGAACCATATTCTATTTATGTTGGTATCACAGCACAAGTACTTGCCACACAGTAGGTAACCTATCAAATAATATAATTAAAAACTGGAACAATCTGCCTCAGTAACATTAATGATAAACACAAAAAATGAAAACCACAAAGTAGTGTCCAACTCTCAGTGAGTTCCATACACACTGAAGAGCATCGATAAATTCCCTCCAGATGAAGCTCTGTCAGTGTGAAGATTTTCAATTTTCCACTTCAGATAACTAAAGGGAATGTTACATGCAGATAGTTTATAGAGTTTTTATATAAAAACATCGAGTCAGATACCCCTGGACACCTTTTAATCTCCGTGAGACTTTGGATAACACAGTAGGGTTGAGAACTGTGTGTTCACCATGCAGGATTTCCTCTCTGCATGGTCTCTTTATTACAAGGCCAGGTATGATGCTTATGCTTAAGGAAGAATGCTGCTCCTTAGGATACCAGTTCCTAAAACTGGTGAAGAAAAAAGAGCTACAGTTATGAGATAAGTGCTTAGATGTGCTTCCTAGGATAACACCAGAATCTTCCAAGTGGGGCAAAGTGAAACTCATTTATATGTTAAGGTGTATTTGAAGGGCTTTGATTGAAAATATGTTTTTATATGATATTGATACATGTGAGGCTGGTTTATTTCACTTCCAAAACACATGCAGACCAGTCTACGGCATAAGCCAATCACTTCTATGTGATCATTACTTGTTTACAGAACTTCTTGCCAAAATATTTGAAATACACTTATTAAATAATTTAAAATAATGATAGGAATTAATGAGTCTTTAAAAAGATACCAATCTAGAACATCAGTGGGGGTAGGCATTTGGATTGTTAATTATTAGTCCTTAGGGAGCTAGAGCTAAGAGAATAAATCAATTGCCCTTTCAATTTCTAAGAGGAGAATTTATTTGTACTCTATGTTGTTCTATGCAAAGAAGACATTTCAGTATATCCCTGAAAATAAAATTGTTTGCCTATGAGCCGTGTGTGGAGGTAAAAGGGGAGACTTCTCAGAGCAAAGGAAATGTATCTTCTCCATCTCTTCAGAATACCTTCATGAGGAAAACCCTGTAATATGCAAACATAGACCTATGGAAAATGTATTTTAAATCAAAACCCTTCAAATAGACCTTAACATGTAAAAGAGATTCACTTTCCCCCATTTGGAAGATTCTGTTCTCCTTTTAGAAAGCATGTCTAACCAGTTACCTCATAAATGCAGCTATTCATTTGTCTTAAAAAAGTAACAAATTTTGATAAAATGGAATTTTTAAAGTTAGTTACTGCTTTTCTATTGGGAAGCAAAGTAGACACAACAGTAGCCTAAGCATAGATGAATCTATCTATCTATCTATCTATCTATCTATCTATCTATCTATCTATCTATCTATCAACATCACTTTCAGCTTATAAATTGTTCCCTCTGTGAAAATTTTTCTAAAAACTGTGTTCCATAAGACACAAGTCTTAGGAATTCCGTTTGTTTCTTAGCATGTCTTGTTTCCCAAATACCTTTGAGCGGATTCTTGCCTACCTCCAGGTCAGTGTGCTGCGTTCTCTTCTGTTCTTTTGGTTGTGCAGTAACCCTGCTTAGGTTTAAGATGTGTTCCTCTTTATCACTTTGGTTGGTTACTTCCTTCTTCGGCTCCCCCTTTCAGAATAGTTTACTTGCAAGATTTCCTGGCTATTGAGGAAGTTCTTCTCATCAGATGCACCATAACTAAGATAAAAGCATGAGTTTGTTTTTTTTTTTTTTTTAAATAAGGATGTTTGGGCCTGCCAAATACCTCAGAGGATAAAAGCCCCTGCAAGCAGGTGCAGGGCCTGGAGATTTGATGCCCAGGCCTGCCTTACCGGCCCCACCCCTGGGGTGTGCTGAGAAGGCAATTGAGACTGGGCGTGGTGGTGCACGCCTGTAATCCCAGCTCTTGGGAGGCAGTAAACAGGTGGATCACTACGAGTCCGATCTAGTAGTGAGACCCTGAACACCCTGTAGGCCCTTCCCTAAAATAAAAAAGTAAACAAATAAATAAATAAGGATGTTTGGATCTTCATTTTTAATAAGTAATAATTTTTCAGTTTTATCAGAAAAAGATTGTTTTTCTGAGCAGTATTTTCAGCCCTCAGTTTAGACTGAATGAATATCATCTCATTTGCACTTCATTTTTTTATTTTACAGAGAAAGGAAAAAAGTAAAAATCGTCCTACAGAAGCTCAAAAGGAGATAATAGGAAATTAGCAATGGTTGTTATGTTGTACATTGTTATCTTCAAAGTAGTTGCCCAGTTTATAAGATATAGGCATGTAAAACTGATCAAATAAGCACAAACTATTCCTTTCAATAAACTAATAGAAGTTAGTCAGATAATACTTTAGCTCTTTTGTGTATATACATATATGTATTTTTCTTCCCCCATCCCAGTTGTTCTTTCCTTTTGAGCCATTTATTTCCCCTTTCAATCTATTGCGTGTTTTGGGTCTTATTTACTTTATTCAATTTCTTACATTAGGGAGACAGTATGACATTTATACATGTGAGGCTGGTTTATTTCACTTCTGAGGATGGTCTCTAGTTGTATCCATTTACCTATAAAAGAATTGAGTTTATTGTTTTTAATAGCTGAGTAGTAATTCATTGTGTAAAAATATCACATCATTTTATCCATTCTTTGGTTGATGGACATTTGAGTTATTTCTAAGATTCAGCTATTACAAATTGAGCAGCTATAATACTGGTGCACATATATTGCTGTGGGATGATGCTTTTAATTCTTCTGGTAAAATACCCAGAGGGAATTAGCTGGGTCAACTGCAACCTCTAATACTAATCTGACCAGAACTTGTAATTGACTGATTTTTTGATGAGAGCCATTCTTTCTTGGGTTGGGATGGAATCTCAGTATTGTTTTAATTTGCATTTCTCAAATTATCAATGCTATAGAACATTTTAATGTACTTATTTACCATTTTATGTCTTCATCTGAGTAGTATGTATTCATTTCAGATATGCATTTTTGGATTGGAGCTTTGAATTTGGGTGTATATGATTTTTTTCAATTTTTCCCAGAATTTAAATTTTTTTAACTTGAAGGAAATATTTTTAATGAGCATAAGCAGGAAAAATCTGAAACCTGACAAAAATTGCCTAATTTCAGAAAATTGTAGATGACATGGAGAGGTCAAACTTCTTCAGAGTAGGTGCACATTATTCTTTTTATTTTATTTTGTTTTTTATATTTTTCTATAAAATAAAAATGTGCTATGTTCATAACTTTCACACAACTGACAACATAGAGACCAGTAAAGATTGTCATGTGTGTCACATATACACACATCAAAAAGTCTCATTGAATTAAAAAACAAAATGAAGGATCGAGACAGTGGTCTGAAATCTACTCAGAGGACTTTA